TTTCAAAAGTGTGGCATTTTTGTAAAGTGACACCTGAAAAGTGGCATTTTTTGAAATTTCAATATAACATAAATAAATAAAAACATTGTTTTCATTCCTACCGTTGTTTTTTATATATATATGAAAATACATTGCTTTTTCACATAATATACAATACATTGTATAAAAAAAACAATGTGTATACTTTACTTTGACATGAGGTGTAGTTGAGTAGATTTTTTAAAAGGGCAATTACAAAAATACCACTTTTTGTGTGCACATTTGCAAGAATGTCATTTAGGGATGTTTATTTACAAAAATACCACTAATTATAGATTTATAAAGCCTATATCTTAAAATTTTAAACCCTAAAAAATGTTTTGACACCTAAAACCCCCTAAACACTCAAAACTAAACCCTAATAGAACATAATTAACCCAAACATAAATAATATAAAGAAAAAATAATTTTGAAAAAGTGGCATTTTTGTAAAGATTTCAAAAGTGTGGCATTTTTGTAAAATGGCACTTGAAAAGTGGCATTTTTTGAAATTTTTCTTTTTTAAAACCAATTAATTACCAAAATTCTCAATCAATATCTAAAATTTGTATTTTCTCATGAACTTTATTTTCTCATGAACTTTATTTTACTTGATTGTATCTAATTATAGCTGATTAGATATATATAGTGTGGGTGCGAAATTTCAGTGTACACTACCACTACTCTCATTGTTTTGGTATTTTAAAAACTTCTGTTATCATTAAAAAATGACTAAATCCACCTTTTTGGCTGTCTTCATCATCCTCATTCTAGATTTGTTTGATCTTTTATCATCTCCAAATCCCTTTTTTATTTGTTGTACCATTTCTAAATCCATTATAAAACCATGTATTTTTGTTGATATTTCAAATTATATATTTCTATAGGAATGGTAGTGAAAGAGATTTAAGGACAAAAAGATGTGTGTCATGAGATTTTACCAGAAACAGATAAAATTTTAGATAACATCGAAAAAAAAAACAAGAAAAAATCATTCGGACAGAAAGATTTTTTGCAGATTTTTTATTTTTCATGTCAGAGAATGATCTCTGTCTTACGACATTTCAACAATTTTAGAGAGGTTATTTTTAGCAGTTTAACATTCTGACAATCCGTCCTCTTGGAGAGACTATCTTGAGCATAGTTTATTTTCTTGTATGAACACGTAGGATATTCCGATATGACCGCAGATTGATGAACAACGAGAATGTGAAGAAGCTAATTGAGAGGGTGTGGAATGAGACCCAAACCTATACTATTGAAAACAAAATTATTAAAATTCGACAAGCTATATCACGGTGGAACAGAGAACATCACAAAAATAATCGTAATGCTGTGGAAGATGCAAACTAGCAACTGGACGTTGTTATGACTAGTTCGATTACAAATGAAGAACTAATACAAAACATTAAGTTTCGAATGTTTTCAAAAAATATAACGAAAAATCCAAATCATATAGTAAAGTGAGAACTATAATATATATGCCAATAGTAGAGATAAGAAATTATTCCTTCTATTTCAAAATGAATGATGTTTTGATAAAAACTCAAAGAAATTAAAATAAAAAATTTCTTCAAAATAATATCATTTAATAAATTTTATAAAACACAGCATAACACAAACGGTCATAAAACATCAAATACATTTAAATTTTGCATAAGAATATGAAATATTTATATTTTGAAAATGTTGAGAAATTTCAAAAAATA